AAACAATAATAGGCAGAATACAGAAACAATAGCTTTGTAAATTGATAATAAATTATCAACTATGTTATTAATCTTGAAACTTTATAAATGACAACAGTTTAATGCTTAGAAACAATAAAAAATAAGAGAAAAATCATAAAAAATAATCACTATAATTAAAAATGCTAGATATCTTAAATCTATTAGTAAATCTAAAAAGGTTAGTATACAAGCTGAATATATGTATAGATGTAAGTTATGCTGTAGTTTGGTGAGCTTTATGACTGTCAAGACATTTGTCACTAGTAAAGAATTGCCTATATATATTTGTACATATAATTATAGAAATAAGTATAATAGAAAATTACCAATTATGAACATGATGACATATGATATACTAATATTTATTTTTTATTTATAGATTTATATAAAATCTTAAGAAAATAATCTATATTTATTATTCAAGAATGAAATTATTAATTCTTTATATGAAGATAATTATGATATAAATAAAAACTTTATTACAAACCATATTTATGATAATCATGACAAGGATATCATGATTAACAAAGAAGATATTGAAAATTTAATATTTTGTAAATTTCAAAATAAGAGAAATATTGAGTTTGATGATGTTGAAAGAACTGCAATCACTTCTTATTATTATAATATTCAGGATGTTGTTGTAACAAATTTAGATTTTTCTAAAAAAGCAAGAAAATATACTTCTAATTATGGAATTATTTTGTAAGATAAATCAACTTTTAATCATAAGTTAAATTTCTATATTGAAAAAGAATTAGATAAGAGAGAACTTGATTTATTATATAATATCTTGAATAATGAAGATTATTAAATTTTATTTATATTTTTCATAAAGATAAAAATGTTGATAATTTATTTTAAATTTATATTAAAAAATAAAATATGATACAATAATATATTTTTTTTTGTATCATCTGTATACCAAAATAAGAAATCCAAGTGTTATAAAATGAATGAATTGTAAATGCATAATTGCACTTTTCTTTGTTAAATTCAAAATAGACCAAAGCAAAAACAAAGAACCCAAGACAATAAAATAAATAATAATAAAACTTTTAAATCATATTAGAAAGAATAAATCAAAAATCAAGTTACAGTTTTGGATAACAAAAAAGTGTCTAATGAATTGAATGCTCTGCTTGGTGAAATAAAGAAAAGCATATGGAAAAGATCTGATATTGATTTCGATAAAGATGTTCGAAATCTATTCAAGTTAAATACATATAAAAAAAATATTCTGTTTATAATGTGTGGATTCTTCTTGACAATTGATAGTGTTGTTATGGATTTATTAAACAATTCATGTATGAATGATCTTGAATTGTTAGCAAATTCCACCAAACAGGTAGAAACTCCACTCAAATTCTATAAGAAACAAAATCATCAAAAAGGAACACATGATAAATTCTATAAAGACATAGGCAAAGCATTCTTTCCTAGCAAGTATTATCTTCTCCAAAGATGTTATGAAGATTTTGTTAAATTTAAGAGAGTCTTTAATTATTGCAGAAAATTCCAAGATTACAATATACCTTTTGGTGAAAGATTCTTGCTTATGTATTCATTGAGTATATTGTGTTCTTTCTATTCTTTGCCTGAATAATTAGACACTGATTTAGTAGAAACATTCCAGAAACAGTTTCTAGTAATCACTAGGTCTGCATTGAAGAAGTCATGCATGTTCATGGCCATTCATACATCTACAAACTTTTTGGTAATGTTACTGAAACTTGAGCAAGAAGAATCTGCAGTGATCTGGTCTTTCTTGTGAAGGATATGTGGACCTTACAAATTTTAAAGTATGGAGAAAACAATGTTAATGGGTTCACCTTGGAAATGGTTTGTGAATATGTAGACTATCTTAAAGAGATGATGTTGAATTTTACAGGCTTTAGTAATAAAAAGACCAAGAAGAACCCATTCAAGTACATGAACTACATCTCAACATACACAAGGGCAAACTTCTTTGAATGAAGAGTTATCAAATATAGCAGCTTTCATAAGTTCAAATACTAAAAAGAGATTTTTAATAATTGCAATGAATTAAAATTGCATAATAATAAAACTGTATTTTGATTTACTGTTTTACTAATGAATATATTATTAATAAAAGATTTATAATATTTCATAAAATGTAATACTTTAAAAACTATTTAAGTGATCATAATTGAAAATGTTTTAAACTAAGTTTAACAATGAAACTTTTAGATAAATTAATTGAAAATATTGTTGATAATATTGAATCTCATGAACTTCATAATTTTCTTAATGCATATGTAAACAAAATTTTTGTTTTCTTTACTCTTCAAAGAATATGGTTAAATTTTTTTGTAGAATTCTATTCAGTATTTGAAGTAAATAGAAATGAAAAAGCTGGCCAGATTTTAAAAGAAGTTGTGCATATTCTCTTTAGATCTCTAAGTGATGAAAGTAAAGAAATTATTTTAAGCAATCTAGAAATTGAAAATATAAACTTATAAAAAAGCCAGTAATTAACTATTTAAAATTTATATAACACATAGATTATTTATTTATTTTTAAGCTATGTGATGCATTTATTAAAACTAATAATGTATATACTGTTTTTAATAAGCTTTTTGTTAAAGTTGTCTCAAAATTAACAATTTTGAACCAACTTACTATTACCTTTTCTGGATTAGATGTTCAAACATGTGAATCATTATTACTGATTCTTGTTCAAAGAAAGTTGAAAATTCTTCATATTGCATTCATAATTGACTATACATTTTATGATATAGTTTTTAAGTCTATTAAGAACCTGGTCAATAAGATGATTTCAAAATTTAAAATTAATATGCTTTGAATTGAAGATTATTTTATTATTAAAACCAATACTACTGTTACTAAACTGAAAGTGAATAATTGGTGTAAGAATCTTATTTAGTATTTTCTATCTCTTGAAAAGCTTATTCTTGATGAGGTTAAATATGATGAAGAATTTTTGCTAAAATTAAAAGTTTCAAGTCTTATTGTTTATACAAAGATGAAATTAAATCATTTAAGATCAAATAAGTATGTGGTTATTATGTTATACAAAGTTTTTTATATTTTGAAACCAGAGTAAAAGTATTTGATAATCTTATTTCAGAATTCTCTAAATTTATTTTACCTTATAAAATTGTTTATCTTGGCACTACAGTAAAGATTATTTTTAACAATTCAGATCTTGTAAGAAAAATATAAGATAATAAGAAAATCGAATACAGTTTTAAATAATATATTATTTCCACAAAAAATATGTATTTTATAAATAAATATGTTACCAAATTTTCTTTCTTGAATTCTTGTACTGATTCTAGATTTTATAAATAAATATTTATTTTTATCAGTTAAAGCAATAAAAATAATTTCTGTGAATATTGATTTTTATGAACTTTCAAGAAGCATATTATCAAAAGATGCAATTGATTTACTTCAAATAGTATATGAAGAAAAATATAAAGATACTTCAAGAAGTGAAAGTTCCTATTCAAGTGATTCTAGTTATCAAGAAACTCTACCAAGAAAGTTCACTCTAATAAGAAACTATCTTACACAAAATGATACTATCAAATTCAGATATTTTTACAAAGATGTAATGATTGTTACTTCAATCAAGAGTATACCAAATTTGATTGGCATTATGGGATATACCTACAATGTTTGCATATTGGCCCACACACATGTTGCATTTCTTGTTAATCATCTGTAAACTTCTGCAGATGTGTATTTCGATATGTATTAGCATATCCAATAAGATTCAAAGATAATGGTAAAGTTGAAAGCTGAGCCAAATGTTTATTCTATTGTGATAAGTATAATGAAGATGCATTTCAAGAATATTTAAAAATGTGTCAAGTTGTCATCAGCAGTAATCTTAAGATTGTATTTCTAAAAGTAAACTCACATCCTGCCAAGTTAAATGTAATAATAACTACACCAAAGTTTATCGATCTTGGGAAGGAACTATGTAAAAAATGTGATAAAATTCATAATAATGCAAAACCATGTATCTCAAAAAAGACAAAATACTGTTACAACTGTAAGAAGTCTGGATATATCAAATGAAATCGTCCAGATATACAATGTTGGAAATGTAATAAATTTAGTTATCTTAAGACAGATTGTAATTATTAATAGTTAAAATTGTAAATTGACAATCATATACTGCTGGGCTGGAATAGTTAGATTATTCAATAGTTAAGTTTAACATTGGAACTGATGTTAATGTATTTGTTAATGTTAAGTCGAATGCTAAAGTTAACTGTCAAATAATCTTATTAACTATATTTGGTCTGCAGTGTATAGGTGTCAATTATTTCTTTTTTTATTTAACTGTATCTTTACAAATTTATACATAATTAAATAACTATAAATAACCAAGTAAAAGTGTATCAAAAATTTGACTATAATAATGTCCAAATTATAGAAACATCTCATTGTATCCTACTTTAATAAAAAAACTTGAAATGTATGTAATCATAAAATCAAATGCAGTAGTGATATTGCTTTAATGAAGAGACATTTTATTAACAAACATAATGATAAATAGCTTGGTATTTGTAAACATAAATTTATTGAAGACAAAACTCCAAATAAGAAACATCCAGTAGAGAAATATTTTCATAAAAAGAAATGCATTGTATACAATTATGAATTTTGAGTTAACACAAAACTTTCAACTATGAAGAAACACTTTGTAAATACTTATAAAGCAGATTGGAATACATTCATTAAGACAAAAAAGTTTATAATTAAATTGTTACAAAATAGAATTAAAACTCGAGTTATTAATAAACTGACTTTAAACTATACTGTTCAAACAAATAAAATAAAGGAATCTAAGACTAAACCTAAGAATACTATTTCAAAAAAGAAACTTAGAGTAGTTAAAAAGATTCTCACAAAACCTACTATTGTTAAAGAACAGAAATTACTCTTATTTGGTTATAATACCCAAATTGTAAATCACCATTTTAACCAATATAATATGCTAAATATGTATCAATATAACACTTGATATAAGGTAGTCCAACCAGAATTAGTTTTTTGCATATAAGACTTGGATGTAAGAAAAGATTTTTAGATAATTCAAATAAATTTGGAAATATTATGTAACTTTATGAAATATATATATAAAACATTTCTAAATTTAAGTTAACTTATAAAAATGTTTGAAGCAACTTTTGCTAAAGCATCTTTGTTTAAGTATATTATCGAAGCAACAAGAGAGCTTGTTACTGATGTTAACATTGAATTTACAGAATCTGGCATTAACTTTTCAAGCATAAATTCATTACACATTGCACTTATCTCTGTTCATCTTGATAAAGAAAGTTTCAAAAAATATGTTTATAACAAGAATGAAATTATTGGCATAAATCTTAATTTTCTAAACAAGATACTTAGTCATGTAAAGAATAATGATATTCTTACACTTAAATTAGAAAATCCAGATTTTTTAAGTGTTTTATACAGGGGTTCTAATGATACTAGTAAAACTGAATATGAAATTCAATTACTAAATATTGACCAGAAAAGAATTAGTATCCCACCTACTAACTATAGTGTGATTATTGAAATGCCTTCTATTAAATTAAAGAAAATATTCTTAGACCAAATAATTGTAAATGAAACAGTAAGAATAATTGTACAACGGAATATTGAAACAGTTAAATTTATTTCAACTGATGACTTTAATAATAAATGTATCAGTACTTTGAATAAAAGAACAGGTGGATTTGATGATAAGATCAATATTAAAGCAGGAAATGATATAGATGATTTATTTTTACTTAAATTTTTATTTATGTTTATGAAAGCATCTTCTTTATCAACATGAATACAAATTTGTTTAGAAAGTAAGTTTCCAATTATTGTTAATATGAAGATGAACAAAACTATATTCACTACTACTTAGCATCAAAAGTAGTTGAAGAATAAATATATATTTTATTTATATTTCTAGCTAAATAAAATCTAAACTATAAACTAAAAGTTATGTATTTTAGGGGTTCAAGTACTTTATATCATATTCTTTACATTTCTTGATCACATCTTCATACCTTTTTGTGCAGCTATGATTAAATATCTTCTACTCTTTTCTCATCTTTAAACTTTTGATCAGTATAATAAATCAGACTCAATATGTAAAATGCAGTTACACTTTCTTCTTTTTCAGCAACTGTTTCCAAGTAATCAATAAATTTTTTAATCATATTTTCATTATGATCTTCAGAAAATATCATATATTGAAACCATGCTTCAAATCTGTAATGATTATTTTCATTCTTATTCTTAGCAATTTCTTTGAATAAGGTCTTTGCCTCAGACTTATTCATAGGTGTACTGAATCCTTCATAAATATAAACACCTTTCCAGTATTTTCCATTGAGAGAGATTTCCAAATCATTGTGATTTGCAAAGTAGTTGAAGTATCTAAAATACTTAGATGCCATGTTGAGTGTAGTGACTGATCCTCAAAGATTTTTATATATTTCTATAAGAGTGTATAAAACATTCTTAATAGTATCAGTACTGCATTTTCTAAACACAGTTTTAAATTTCTCTGTAACTCAATCATTTTAGATGTTTGTATTGTATATTCAATGATAAAAAGATATAACTTTTTTAGAATTTGAATAACAATAAAATATAATTATTTATTTAAATAAAAAATATGATAGTACAAAAATGAAAAAGTGAATAAACTATATTCTAAATAAAGTTAATCATTTATAAGATAGCTTCAAATTATGCTTGTGCTTTATTTTCTAAATAATTATCTTTAGAATTATTTTTAGCAACTTCTTTAAACAAGGCTTTTGCTTCAAGTTTATTAATAGAAGTTTTAAATCCTTCACTTAAACAGATTTCTTTCCAATACTTTGTAGTAAGAGCAATTGTTAAATTGTTATATTCTGCACAATAGATAAAACATTTAAAGATGTCATTTTTATCATTATGTGCATCATTAGAGTTGCCTTTAGTATAAAGATCATACTCATTAATGCAACTATTTAGATAACTCAATATTGTTTCATTGCTAGAATTATCAAATACTTTTTTAAATTCTTCTTTACCTTTATTTATAGCCAAACCCAATTTAACAAACCCAAGACTCATTTTAAGAATTAAAGTTTATGTTTATTCATATTTGAAAAATATATAATCTTTTATTAAAAACAGGAACAATAATATAAAAACAAAAAAACTTAATCAATATGTTGATCTTTCACATGTTCTATTATTTGATTCCATCTAGCACTATATTCTATACAAATTATTTTTCTATTTGAGCTATCAAGAATCTTTTTTTTCTCAAACTCATAACACAGATTACAAATATTGTAATACTTCTTTTTCTTATTATTCTAATCTGTCTTATTTGTCTTACACAATTACAAAATTTCTGCTTTTTACAATTGATACAAAATCTAAAATAACATTTTCAAACCCTATCCCAACCAACCTTATTTACTTTGCATTCTTCATACAATGATGCATTTTTGATTAATATTTTTTCATGGCATTTTTTGCATTTACTATTTTTTTTAAATTTTCTATTTTCACAAAGACAGACATTTTTTGAATTAAATAAAAATTCAACATTTCTTTCATCAATAAAAAATTTTAACTCTTCTTCAAGAATTTCATTAATATTCTCTAATATAACTTCATAATCTTGAAGAGCTTATTCAATTTCTTTTGGAAATCTTGGATTAAGAGAAACCTCAAAGACTTGTTTATCATCTTGGTTTATATTTTTATCTTCAAACATAAGTTTAAAAATCAAATTTGAATATTTGTAAATATTTTCTATTGTTGTTGTTATCTTAGTTTGTTTAGTACCAAGAATAAAAACTATAGTGTTTTTATCAGGAGAAACACAGTCATAACAATATTTTTCATATTTTGAAAAAGATTTTACTTTACAACAATTTTGGAAATAGCATTGACATAGAGATGCATTTCATATAATACACTCTTGACAATTATATACACCTAACATAAAATACTCTTTGCAGTTATTTTGAGAGATTGAAGTATTATATTTCATTATTTAGATTTAAAAATCTTAGATATTTTTTTTTTTGCTTTATCATCATTCATTTTTATAATTAGAAGATATGCACACAGATATATTACAGATAATCCTGACTTTTATAGTTTATCAAGAATTAACTTTAATAAAAATAAAACATGTTTCACAAAATATAAAAAAAAACAAATTACAAATAAAAAATGTTCAAAATATAGAGTATGATTTCATACAAACTTATTAATATCTTTTATGATCATATCAAAAGCTTTGTTAGGTAATTCAGTTAAATTATCTTTTAGTTTTACAAGTTCTTTGTCATGCTCTTTTTTCAAATAAAAGAAAAAAAAAATAAAACTCAATAATGAGATTATTAGATAAGTAATAAATAATCTCTTGTAAAAATAATATTTTTTCTTAAAATTCTTTGAATAAATTGTCTGATTCATCTTTTCAGATACTTCAGTAAGATTAACCATTCTGTTATCTAACAATTGATTTAATATGAGTTGATACTTTTGAATTTGTAATAGTATAGTAACTTGATCATTATTAAGTTTTATAATCAATAAAGTAAAAGTTTAAATATTTTTAATATAAAAAATCATATATGAGTATAAATCTTGTTGAGTATCTATTAACTGGCTTATCTTATAATAATTAAAAGATGAACTGTATTGTCTTGTATAGACTAAAATAGATAGTTTGTTTAATAAAGACAATTTAATCAGCATCAGTTTAAAATAAAACACATTTTGAATAAACATAAAAGATAACATTGTTAAATTAAAAAAATAAAAATATAAATTTAAATCAAGTATGATAAAATGATTTATTTTTTTATTTTATTTTTTTTTTAAGTTAAAGTTCCTGTCTATGAGAGTTGATGTTTTTATTTATGTATTTGAACATAGATGCCTTTAGGGGCTCTCTTACATTGGAGATTATAACTAGCCATACATGCACTTTTAGTGCTTAATTTAAGTAGTTTGCCTATATATTACTATATAGGTTTTATACTAGGTGCCATACTTGCAAGCCAACTATGAGTCTTACCTATTTAAACCCTTTGCATATATAGTCCACTATGTCTCATGGGGATATCTTCAAGGCTACACCCATCCAAAGTACCTGATGCCTTTAAGTACCCTTAGGACTAGTTTATCCTCAACAGGAAACTTACTAGAACCTTCTGTGTTCCACATACAGCTGATCTAATTTTATGCAACATGCTATAGTTACCTAACACTTGCAGTCACAGAGGTTACCTGTTTAACTGCTATGTTACACTATTTCTATTCTTGCAAAGTTTACTAGAATCCCAGTACCTATTATTGTGATATTTTTTCTATCATCTCTTACTAACTACTACTCAGGGCTAACAGGACTCTCCTGACTTCCAATTCAGATAGCCCAGTATGGTATACTTATGTATCCTTTTCCTCTAGTGATTCTGGTGGCCTGGTTGGTCATATGCTCCTCTATTCATCTTGATATCAGGTTTATCTACCTATCTCTTTGGAGGTGTTTTATGGGCTTCCATCGGTCTGACTGTACTGTCAAAAGTTCATGCTACCCCTTTACTCAAAAATTTTTAAGTAAGTTTCTGACTCTTCAGTTTTTTAGTTTACTGTACCCAGTGGTCTTATCATAGGTTTGTACCAAAGTCTTATGTGAAACCAGTTATTAATATTCCTCTATATACATAGAATGTTACACTTTGCATAGATGCCCTGAGCTCTCATTTGAGATGGTGTGACTTAAGGTTACCTATACACAAATCCAACCAATTATCAAGAGACAGTCTTCTGTAATACAAGTTAATTTCCAAATTTCGTCATAGGTAGAAGTTGAACCTTAGACCTGCCACTTGAAGAATGACAACCCAACCACTACACTAGGATTACTATCCTCTGATAAAATGAGTTATTGATAAATAGATATATATATTTTACTATAAATTATATAATACTCTTTCTGTCAACCTTGCAATTTCTAAAACTACACTAAAAAAAATCTCAGTTAAATTAAGTTTTTTTGTTACTGAATATCCAGACTTTCATACAACCTGTTTGTGTAAGTTATTTTTATAAATAAAAATTGATACTGGGTCCTGAATCATACTTACATCATCTGATGTAATACTAAACTCATGTTCGACCAAAAACACAAGTTTTTCAAGTTTGATAAAAAAGATATGAATAGATTTCATTTTTAAAAATTCTTTGTCCAATTTATTAGAATCATTCAAGTATTCATGTAT